GTATATGATATGAAATAAATAAAAATATATTCTTGAAAAAATTTTTTATTATGAGGACTAGTGGCAGCAATTTGCTTTCCTTTTAAAATTGCATGAAAACAAATATGTGCATAAAATCAGGCAACACTGTTTTGTCCGGTCTCTTATACAGGATTTATATAGCGCCAACAGTTGGTGCAGCGCTTTACAATATAAGGAAGACATTACAATCGCAATTCAAGACAAGATGGTAAGGAGGCCCGTGCCCCTGAGGGCTTACTCTTAACAGTGATTATCAGTTGGCTGCCAAAGTGCTCAGTTCCTGGCTGCTTGTGTTTTGACAACCTGCTGATAGCGAAATCCCGCGATTGTACTAACGCAAGGTGTGTGGAAGGCGTGCGACCGTTTCTCCTGTACGGTCGTACGACTTTTATTTTAGGAACATGTTTGAAAACCCACGGAGGATCGTACGATTGTCGGCGGGTGTGTAGCATGCTCGTAAGATAAATGCAGAACGGGCTGAACACTGCCCGTTCAGCATTGCGGTCATCGGAAGCCCGCCCCTCTGCGGGTCGGGCTTGCGATTATCGCAAGTACGATCTGCCTGTCCAAGATGAGCAGATCATACGTTTTTTTTTAATGACCTTACAACCATCGCAAGACAAAAGTCTTGCGATGGTTGTAAGGTGTATGGCCAGCTTTAGAGCACATTTTGGGCTCCGTCCACAGACGGAGTAGCACACAGTGCCAGAGCAAAAAAATAGTAATAATTTTTAACTTTATTTGGAGTGTGCAAAATGTACACTACCTGTAGGTCCCCACACAGCTGTGGTGACCTGCAGTATTATCCAGTGCTCTGCAAAAAAAATTGCAGCATGTCTTTTTTTTTCTTTTGCTCCCCAGGTCATGCCTTTATTGTGGTGTGCACGGGGCCCATAAAACAATTGTTTTTTTTAATGCACTCTACAGGTGACTGGCGTTTTTGTTCATTTGCTTAAAAAAAAAAATGCCAGTAATTGCTTCTAGTCTCAACGGGCCCCCAGGAGCCTGTCAATAAAAACTTTAGAACCTAATTTCACCATTTGGATTTTACAAACAGTGGTGTGTGTTGTGAGTGTTTAAAAACAATAACATATAGCTTAAATGTCTTTTTTGGATTTCTTTCTCCTAAGAAGATACAGGAATATATCGCTATAACCTGAGCTGTGAGCATTCATTCTGATTTTCCTTCATCTCTTTTCACAGGTATCTTGCAGCCCCTGTGCTATACCCCCTGGCACATCAGTTTCAGCAAATAACTTTACTTTGTACCAGCGACACCTTCAGTCTTTGCATGAAAATAACTTACTAGAAGAGCAAAGACAGAGGCAAGAACAGATGAACATCGAGAGCAAGAGGTCAGGCAGCCCAGCAAACATGTCCAAGAGTCCAAGCATTGATTGGGAAGGTAACCACACTGACCTAACAGAAAAGATCTTCTACTCTGGTTAGTGCTGCAGCTGTTATTGGTACAAATTGTTAAGTAATGGGACAGATTGCCTAGAAAGAGCAGCACTGAAAACTACTTCCTTTGAGGGGCAGGTTTTCCTTGCCTCTGACTATGCCGCTTCCTAAAGTAAATATTCTTCCTTATCTTGTACATTTTCTGAAAACCATTAGACAGAACATCTTTCCTTATGGAAAATTAGGTTAGTATATAAACTTGTGAGCTTACATCTGCAACAGCCAACCTCACACAACAAAATCAGTTGATTCACATGTACCCTGTAAATAATCAAAATACTTTCTCTTTTCCAACTACAATTTTCAAGAGAAAGTTGTAGCTGAAAAAGGCCTCTTTAGAATTGCACTAAGTATATGCTTTTTAATGTCCTAATTGTACTCCTATACACAGTGATTAGCAGTGGACCCAACCTGCAGTGCCCGACGGGTGTGCTTAGTTAAAATAAAAATGCTATGTGATGGCAGCCCATTTAAAAGGCATGTGCTGCCTTAATGGAACACACGTTAACACGTGTGGCAACAGGCTGGACTGGTGTGAAGAGGTCCAACATGCTTTGATTGCAAATACCTTGAATATAACGGAGTCTTGGCAAATTTTGACTTGCAGACTGGCTTCCAGTATATCCACCTCATTGTTTTGCTGTCTAAAACACACACTACCTCTGCTTATTAAAGAAGAACATAAATAATAATGTAAGCGTTCGGGAGAGTGGGGAAGGGTTAGAACCTATATCAGGGCTTTATTACTGCTTGAGTCCTTTTTTGAAGAGAGTTCCTTCTGTTCTCTGTCCCAGTGACTTACTGGCAAGTAAAGAGAATCTCATGAGGATACAAACTGCAGACAAAAGCAAATGAAAAGTAGGGAATGGTGAAAGAAGGCTCCGCAAAAAGCATATTCCGTTGAAATACAGATTACTTCATATCAATGTAGAAAAATATTTTGAATGTGAAAAGGATCACATCCACGCCCACCCTATGATAAAATAAAACGGACAATGTTGTCATGTATTCTTCAAGCCCTTAACTCGATCAAGCTATGTCCCTAGACCACCATCTTCAAACAGTGACACGTGGTGTAATCTTGGATAATAAGCACGTAGATGAATTCTGTCTCTTCCTGATAAAGTTACAATGCTAGAGATGGAACACATTGGTGTTATCATGTGCAGCTTCTCCTTCCTGTTTTTGTTTTGATTCACGAGTGCTCCGTGGCCTAGCATCTTTGCCGCACAGCATTCTCCCTCCTACACAACACGTATGTTTGCACCCACAAACAACTGCTTGCTGCATGATAGTGCAAGCATTTTTTCTGTGCCTGCATGTACTGTCTGTTTTGTAAAGCCTGCACTTACCTTAAACACTGGGCACAATATTAGAAGAAGTGATCAGGCCTGCTTAACGTGTAGTTCACTGCTTGCTGCGCTTGTTACCTGCCTATTGCTCAGTAAGGTTACCCATTGAAATATGTAACCTGAATGGGGTAAAGCAGAGGGGAGGAGCGGACCAGAAAGATATCCAGATGCTTTTTCCCTAAGGCCTCATTTACACAACAGGTGTTTCATCTGATGTTTTAAAGCTTCCCTAATGTTTAGCAACTCTCAATAGTAACGTTTAAATGGACAGTTGGCAGTGTCGTGAACATGCAAAAACCGTGTACATTTGCATCGATTCACATCTTGCTGCGTCAAACTTGATCCTGCAAGGTGTACTTGGCAGTGATATCACTTGTCAACTGCTTTCATTCATGTTAATAGCAGTCGTCTTTATATACATCTACTTAAAGTTAGCAAATGTTAACAGGGTGCTAGGGAAAAGACCAAGTCTATTCACATTGGTAGTGGATCCAATCAACTGGGGTCTAAGGATCTTGGCAAGCTATTAAAAGTTGACATTCTAATGTGGACATAAAAAACATTTCTGAGGGTATGTACACACCACTCATGATGCAGGGTGTGAAAGTGCCCTTTGGAAAATCCCTGCGAGACCATTGGACGCACCCAGTACAGGTGCAATACCCTCTTCCACTGGGACGCTTGTGACTCAATCATCTTTCGCTGGACCAGGCTGAACATCAGGGAGAAGATAGTGTAGGATTCCATGATATTGTCTTAAAAAAGACAGGGAGGGCGATCTATATAATGGAGCAAAAAGCACCAAGGGAATCTCTAAATAATGCCAGATAGCACACCACGAACCACTCCTCTAAGCTGATCACTTCCCTTTTAATTGTTATACGTCCCCTTTATTTGACACTACATTAATGCACCAGGAATGCATGTTATTATAGGCACTTCATTCAGCATTCATAGTATCATAGTATAGTTTCCTATGAGTTTGGCCTGAAACAATGTTGGGTGTTTAAGTTAAGCTATCACTTTACAACAAAAACTGCACTATCATGCCTGCCGTGAGTGGTTAGTTGCATGACAACAGGTTCACTTTAGGGGTTGCCTTTTCACTGCTTCCCATTTATCAGATGGAGAGGGTAGGACATGAGCTGATAAATCAGAATGCTGCAGGCTTTACAGTCAAGGTGACGCTGTAAAAATGATTTATGCAGCTTTTATAGTTGCCAATCCAATTATTACATGCATGTACCTTCAAGGATGTCTATTCTGTCTGTGTTCAGTGTATTAGCAAAGCCGTGAGTGTGCATGCAATGTCTCCCCTTGGGAATTAACTGTCTGGATCATTTCCAAGTTCAGGATTTAGCAGCTGTTCAAGAGTTCAGTTTCAAATATTACTATACACATCCCGGAATATTTATACTGACAATTGGCAGCTTCTAGCAAAATATCAGCTACAGGCTGCTTTCACACGAGAACACTCAGCCTGTCCTGGCAGCTGCATGTTTACGTTCTTGTAGTTTACGTGTATGTTTACATGCTGTTCTTATTCTTGGTCCTAAAGCAGGCCTTGCCATAAAATCAGGTCTGCCTATACTATTCTGTTCCTCCTTCACATATCATATACTATTGGTAGGTGTAAAATGTACCTGTAGAGAAAAAAAAATCAAGGGTTCACACTTGTCTCACCCCCATCTTCCGCCCATGGCGCCTAGGCAAAGGGGGCCTCACATTCCCTCTGGCTAGGCCATGGGGAATATAGAGCAGACAACATCTTGTGAGAAGATGCTTTTTGCCTCAATTTCAATTTTAAGAAGTTATCACTTTGGCATCTACTGCATTATTTACACCCACTGTTAGATGCCAGCTCAGGATTGGTGAATATTATTTATGAGTGTGAAGCTGACCATCGCATCCGCAACCTGGCTGAACCAGCAGTCAGCCAGATTAGTAGTTGTCCTAATCAGATGGCTACATGAAGAGCCATATTTCTCTTTTGCATTAATGACCTTGGCTAGCAGCACATTCAGCAAGCATATTGGTGCTTCATAAGTGTACACATAACCTGCTACTGACACTTTTACAGCAAACAACATCAGATTTAGGAAAAGCCAGTGCACTTGAACATGAAACTGTTTCGGTACTTTAGGATTAGCCCCTTGTGGTGCAATAGTGCTGTCAGTGTGTGTGTGTGTTGGTCATTGAACAGACTACATGATCTTTTTTTTAAAATGAGAATATATATATAATGTATATGGATATACGTGTGTGTGTGTGTGTGTGTGTGTGTGTGTGTGTGTGT